GTCTATGTTAGCCACATGCCTCACTCGATATCTGGAAAACTTAGTGTGGACCAATGATGCGCCAGGTAGGGCCTAGAGGTATGTGGCACGGTCCATGTTGGCCTCCACCGGGCTATGCCTTTAGATGATAAAAGAGCTGTCTAGTTTGGCGCCTGTCTCTCGCCATGAGATTTGTGATGACACCCCACCAAGGCCTACTTGCGATGGCCTCCAACCTACTTGCAATGGTCTCCAACCTTCTAGCAATGGACCCTTCTTTTGCGTTCTAAGCTAGACCAAGTTCAGATAGGCCCTGTTGGTGTTTGGTATGGTCTATGTTGGCCTCCACCGTGTGCAAAAAGAGCTGTCTAGTTTTGCACCTGCAGTACCTCGGTTGAGACTAACGTAGACCATGTTCAGGAGGCCCCTAGAGGTGTGTGACATGGTCCATGTTAGCCTCCACCGGGCCATGTTGATCTCTACCGGCGCGGTCTATGTTAGCCTGCGTTCAGTTTATAGTCAGAGTGCAGTTGGTCCATGTCAAAATCGATCACAGACTGAGAGTGGGAACGGTCCATGTTAGTGAGGGTCCAGAAATTGCCAAAAAAGGTGCTAATACCGTTTCCCCAGGAAGTCAGCGTTTCCAGTGGTCCATGTTAAAGCGCACTTGAAATTGAGTTCTGGTCTATGTTGTTTTTCCCCGGAGTAGTTATATATATATATATATGGATGGGCCGGGACATGTTTGGGGTGTCGATGCGTCGTCCTTCACTCCGTTCACTCCCTCAGCGTCCTCTTCCCGCGCAGTAGAATCAGCGCCCCAGCTTCACAGTCAGGTGTTTGTCGTTTGGCAACTGCGCAGATATGGATGATCCTCACTTTGTCAAGTTCTCTGCATTTGGTCGACAACGGTTTACCTTGCACTTGCGCCATTCCGCCGAATGGAAGGATCCAGCGATCAAGAACAGGTTGATCCATATCGATCTGATTGGAAGACACTCACTGGTCGACCAGTTGCCTTTACGAAGGGGCCTGTTCGGCTGTGAGGAACAGCCGCCCTGTTTTCCGCACTTCGTGATCGCAGTCGAAGTCTAGAAGTGGCTTCGGCCCAGGATTCGGCAGTCAGGGGAGGCCTCCCCCTGATTCGTCGACACCGTCTGGCCAGCACTGTAGGGCCCAGAGCAGCTTTTTGTAGGGAGTAGGGCGGTCAGTCAGTCGTGGAGCTTCAAATATCCAGAACCTCCGCATACCTCTTGGGTGATACATCAGGGCCGTAGTGATAGGATTGTTCTAACTAACTCATACCTGCTGTTTGACAGGAATGAGTATTAGCGGGATGTAGGTGGGCCCCGTTGTGCTCGTTCTATTGAATCTTTTGAGATGCTCTATAGTCTATAGTGACTACTGCCAGTACAACAATCGTGGAAGTGGACAACGGCCCATAGGAAGACTATTCAGGTCGCTTCGTGACGAGAACCGCCCGCACCAGTGGCTCTCAGAGAGAGGGTAAAGAAGTATCAATAATAACTCGACTCTATTTTTGGATCCTTTGATGCAGTGTTTATAGTTATGTCTTACTTTCATTTTGCAAGCATTGTTGGATCTATTTTTCGACCCCTTGAAATTGTACATGTTCAAGGGGATTCAAAAAAGAGCGATCGTGTTGCTTTCGTTTTTTGTTTTCATGGTTGGCTGCCACTTGCTTTGGTGCGCTGATGTGGAGGCAGGGCTTAGGCAGTGAAATTGGTGGAGTCAACCCATCGAATCCTTAAATGGGGCTATAGCGGGCTGTTACTCAAAGGTTCAGGAGTGGTCAAGGGAGGGAAACTTGGAACTTCTCTACAGGTGTGCCATTTTGAGCCACAATGATCCAATTCTATCGACTGGATGTGTTGCGGGTGCGTGTCCAAATTGCTGGACAACAGGTGGAGTTGGCCTGTCCCAAACGGGAGGCGGCGCACTTCAGAGCGAGGCTGCCGAGCTGTGAGTCGGCCACGTGCCTTTAAAGGAAGCAGACCTTTGCCTGGCCAGGACTCCGGTGCTGAGCCGGAAGCAGCAGAGGAACTCGCAGAAACGCTGGCGTTGTTGCCCGCTTGTGTGGCGGACGCGTCTTCGTGGCCACGGTGGTCTGGCACACGAACATCGGCCTGTGTGCCGAACAGGGCCTGCTTTGCCCTTTGGTCAGGAGGAGATTGGATGTGAAGCGGTGTCCATCAAAACGATTTGTCCAGGAGCTGGCAGGGTGGCATGCAATTGGCAGAGCAGTTCATCCATGGCGAAATTGTCTTGCATGTAGGTTTTGTTAGTTCAATGACATTGGTGCGCAATGTCATTTGCTGTCATTCAGTCCACGTCAGGTTTTTGCTTCCATCTGACCCGATGTTGATTGCCAAGGGCTCATTGCAATGTGGCTGTCAGTCAGAACTTCACCTACTGCATGGATCAGCTGGATTGTGCGGGAGTGTGCAATTCCGCATGCGCTTTGCCACACGTCTACAAGGCGGCCCTCGATGGCAACAGACGGCCGGCGTCGGTGTTCAGAGTACTTCATCTAAAAAGGGTGTCCAAAATAGGGTCAGTGGGAGGACCCTTTGGTAATGGCCTATTGAATATTCAGTGCAGACTGCGTGGCATGCGCAGCGCTTTGGGAACCTTGAAGTGCAGATTTCGTGGCAAGCACAGCACTTTGTCGACCTT